GCCACCCGGTTTATCGTATTTACCATTACCGCGAGTAGCATTGAATAATGACATTATTATTATTTATCGGCTCTCGCTCACATTAATGGACATTATTAGGCGTTCAACAGCTGCTGCGCGAGGCGTTATAATCGCATGCAGTGCGTGTACCGTCTTCACTGTATGCTTATTTACACACGGCGGCCCATGTAGAGTAGTTTTAAATACCTAAGACACTGTGTTGTACACCTACCTACACACACACACGACGACTGCAGCAGCAGATGATAATATTCAAAACGCGAGAGTAGGAGACAAAACAAAAAAAAACGTGTACAATATTGGAATTCCAAAGTTTTACATTTCGTTATCGTTAAAGGATTCGAAAAATAGTTTATGTAAATTAGGCAAAACCGAATTTACCATAATTTTTTTTTTGTTTTTGTTTTGTATTGGAGGGGGGGGGAGACGTCAACCGCGAAGGTAAAACGAAAGCGAGTCTTATTGATTTTTAGAAGGAAACGACCGTGTAAGAAAATGAGTATCTATAATTTGGAGGAAAATGGTTATACGACCGGAGAAATAAATAAAACGCAAATGTTTGCAAAAACGGGATACGTTGCTTGTTTTTACTACATTCGGTCATATAATATTATATGCCATATTATTAAACTGCAGCGGTCTTGGCAGCGAAGCCTAACCGTATTTTATCCGACGCTCGGCGATTACACCGATACAAACGTACGGATCGACTTCGTTTTACACTTTAAAAATCGCTCGAACGTTTCGCATAAAACATTTCTTTCATCAAGGACAATAGGAATTATGGTTTTCCTCGATGAATAGAACGGACGGACAGACGCCCATGCCAAGACGCGGTCGGTTGCCGCTGACGACGACTCTATTTCTGCCGCTTAAGAGATTTAAAAACGATTTAATAATTTTGTTCGTATCATTGCATAAAAAATAGTAAATACAAAAAATATATATATGCACGTGCGTGTGCGTGTGTGTGTGTGTCGTGTATGTATTATAACATGAGTCATGATGAAACTGTACGGCACTGAAAATACGTCGTAAATAATAATATTATTATGTACATATATTACTGGAAAGTTTGGTTTTACTGCGCTCTTCCTAATGGAGTTTTCGGTTTTTGAGCTCAAGTTATTTGTATGGTAAATTGTTTAAATTAATTAAAAAAGTAAATGCTGATAAAATAACCGTTCAATTTTTTTAAAACTTATATCACTAAGATAGTAAAATGCATATTATGTTAAAATTTTCATTTTCAAAGAACTCTAACAATAAAATATAATAATATTGTAAACGTCCTATTATTGTAATGATAGTTATTGGCATTTATTGATGATTTATACATCCATTTTAATTAATTTATAACCATTAATCACATGCATTAATATTTACGATTTAGTATAATATATGATACTAAACCGATAAGTATTTTAATAAAATTAAAAGTTCGTTAAGTATCAATTAAAAAAGCCAGTGAATAATTCAAAATATTATCCTACAACTGTTCCGTTTGACAAGATAAAGTAAAAGATTTCTCTTTGACGAATAAAATTAGAAGTTGGAGCACTCAGTAAATTCCGGAGTAAATTAAATTTGAAATCAACTTTTTGTAAGCTATAAAACGAATTCCATGATTAAAATACCATGCGAATAAATACTAAAATATGTATCTTAATTGACGTTAAACTGTTTATTATATTCTATATTATTTAAAATATTTATATAAAATTGTTGTGAATTTATGCGTTATACCAATCAGTTTTAAATCGCCACATTACAAAAAAAATATAATCATAAAATATAACAATTCATTATAATATAAATACGTCATCAGGTTTGGTATAAGTGATAAATTAAAAATAATTAAAATTTCCGTTTCACATTAGCATTAATAGTTATACAAATATCAAACAAAAATAATGTATATAATATATTATTGTGATAACAACTGTGACTCATTATAATATAATTGAACTTAATGTGAATTTTGGTAAATGGTTTTATATACGTTTCAGCGTACAATGTGAAATAGCTATACATAGTATATTCATATAATTTTATGAATTTCATGATTGTGTATATATTAATATATTATTAAGTATTTTAATTCTGCCAGCCTTTGCATCCTAAAAAAGCAATTTTAAGAGCTAAATTATTCAGGTATTTACATAATATCGTTATGTATAGATATGTGGTGAAATTTGATTAAATCTACAATAGCCTATATTATAATATAAAAGTCGAAGTATCTGCAGAAAATGTACACTTATGGCGTCCCAAAAATATTAAAATAATTTAAACATGGTAACACTCACAGTCTAGTTATTACAACAATATGAAAGTTGTTACTATTTGACTAAACGCGTTTAAAAAATTTTATATCTCGATATAATAATACACAAAATACAAGTACTTAGCTTATTTTAATAACATATAATATTTTTCATTTTTGAACACACAAATAATAATGTATAACATACACAATTTTTACCTATAATTAATTCATTATCATTCGTTATAGTATCATTATAAATATAATTACCAAATAGCAAACAATGGTCTGTTATAAACACGCCTTGTATAGTACCTATACCTATATTATTTTAAACTATCGTATAAAAAATATTTTCTTTGAACATTAATTATATAGGTAGGCACATTATAAAATATATCTATAACTTAAAGTCGATATCTTTATTAGTACCTATAGTTAATAAAAATAAAAAACGATTGTGAGATTTTGGCATCTTGCTATAGTATACCTATGTGTCATTTATTTTAATACCCACATAAATGATACTTCGTTCCTTTTTTATTGTTAAAATATTTGGTGGTCGGTAGATACTAAGAGCTTGTGCTCGGGTTTCATTAAACAGCTAAGCTTCATATATTAAATTCACACACACCCGCCCTCGAAATACGATTGGTCATCCAATAATATCCTCGAGGGTTAACAACATAATCAATTCTGTTGATTGATATCGGTTAAGACAATTTGGCCATTCAGAAATTAATCAGAAAAGTGGATCGCGGTACCACGTTGATGAGGGACTGAGCTATACTAAACTATAAAAATTTTGAATTGGGGCGATTGTTTCGGGGATAGAACGTAATATAGAGATAGAAGTAAAAACGAAGAGCTGCTGCGGCGACTGCTATAGAGTGACAAATGTTTTCTATACTTATTGTTCATATTCGTATATTCAACTATACAAGTATACCTACCTATATAAACTGTTTAGCTATCTTCAAACAACTTTAAATATTTAATAAATTCATATAATATGTCAACATTATTTCTTAAACACAATACGATTTCAATCAATTATATATTTTGTACAAAGAATATTTCAGCTGCAACGTACATACGACCGATTCATCAAAATCAACAACCCCTGTAGTGTATAATCATAATATTGTTTTTATATATTATTATTTGATGATTAAATGTTCGTAGTGCCACAAAAAGCGCAGTCAGATCGCAAAAATTATTTTACTACGGTATAACATGGTAATTCGTCATTTTGAGAACGTTCTAAAACGTTTCTTTTTTAATACTGCCAAAAGCAAGAGAAAAAATGGGGTTACTCCGCCCGGCATTGCAACGGCCTAAATAATTTTTTATACATATATATATATAAGTTTGTGTGTGTGTGTGTGTGTGGTGTGTGCAGGATGTATATTACTCGATATAAAGTTTATATATATAGAGATATTCTGGAGCTTAACTTCCTATACTCGGCCAATGTTTAATAATAATAAAATACTATATAGGTCACCGGTAATTTTTTTCAAACTTTTAACTGCTATTTTAAACTCGACCATACGAACCGTACGACCGTATGCAGCAGTACCTAAATAATTTGCCGTGCTCGGCTGCATACGGTGCGTGTCCTAAATGTATATGTATACTGCAGTTGCCGAGAGTGACAATTTTGGCGAGTTAACATTAAGCTACAAACGTGTAATACGCTTACAACGTTTTAATAGATCGGACCGAATGTAGCCTTAAATTTAAAATAAAAACAAAATATTAAATAATAATTTTTTAATTCGCATAGACAAGTGAGCTGAGTATTTGGGATTAGACGGATGTAATATTAAACCTAAACACATTCACGTATGCGTGGACCGGATTTCACGGGGATATTCTAATAAAAGTTAATAAAGTATAATAAATGTATGCACGGTTTTTTATATATATTATAATATACGGGATTTCACTATATTTCCAATGCAGTAAAACTACAGTGCCTATGCACCGAATATATACGAGTCAGGGCCCCTTAAATAGTGCCAATATAAATTTTCTTACCAACTTAATTTTCAAATTAAATAGGCAGTATTTTTTTTAACGACTTATACGGTTTGCCACCGTCTCATAACGATGTGTGTACATACTACATAGTAATATTATAACAGTTATAGACTATTACAGTGGCGTGGTACTCATCAACTTACACGCGGGTCCCACGATTGGCACATAAAAAATTTAAATTTATAAATTTGCAGACGTTAAAAAAAAATGATGTGAAAAATCAGAAAACTTTAAAATTGTTCGTCTAATCGGCCGCGGAGTTATCTAAGTCTAGTAAATGGCAATACTAATGTTTGTTTCGTGAGAACTATTATGGAATTTTTTTTCTTTTTATCAGAATCAGTGCAATAAAAACACATACACACATACCCACACCCGCACGAAGCGTGCCGCGCGATAAGACGGAAATTTGAATTCTATTATAACTGCAACAATTATTACTAAACAATAAGCCAATACAAAAGTGTAATTTTTATATTTCATATATATATATATATATATATATATATATATATTAAATAGGCAGTTTCTGTGCCTCCCTCTTGTTCAGGTATTTATAGTAATACGAATAATATTGTCCCGGGTTCAGGTAAATGTATATTATATACGAATAATGACAAATTAACGATGTAAACAATACATAATATTGGCGTCCATTCGTACTTACCTATATATTACGTTATGACTTGTGCTGGCGAGCTCGGTGCGGTCGGAAAGTGGCGGCGACGGCGTCGGCGTCTGTGGGGTGCAGTACCGCGACGGGACCGGTTCTCGCGGGCGGACGAAGGAATGAAAAATATACGCAAGTATTCTGAAGAAAAAAAATTGACGTCGGAAAAATTTGAGATGAGAAAAAAATTTTTTCCCTCAAAATCTTCGATGCCTCGAAATTTGTTCGGAAAAAAAAAATTTTTCAATTTCGAATGTCGAATTCGGCGGGCTTACGGGGGCGGTGGGGACGACGGCGGTCTGTAGGTGTCTCGCGACGGGCGGCGTGTGTGTGTATGTCTATATGGTGGTGGTGGTGGCGGTGGCGGCGGCGGCGGCGGAGGCGACGGCGTCGAGCTGCAGTGTTATACCGCGCTTGGTATAATGCTCGTGGCAATGGTCTACTGCAGTTGTAGTCGTACGACGGACTGTCGCGCGGTCTGCGTGGCGGGTCCGCGCTCGTGTACGGGTTGCGACGCCGTCGAGTGGCGCGGCGACGGCGGCGGCGGCGGTTGTTTCGGCAGTGCGGCCGCGGCGGGGAGGGCCGGAGCGATGTTGTAGCGAGAGCGTGGCGATCGGCGTCGGGCGGGCGAGGGACGGACGACGGCGGCAGACGGGCAGACGAAACGATATTATGCCGCCGCGGACGCGCGCGGCAAGCGTGGGCGGTGGCGCGGAGACGCGGCCGCCGCCGCCGTGGTTGCTATCGCCG